AACATTTGTAAAACTTCTGCTTATAGAGCGATATAAATGACAAAGAAGCTATGCATAAACTTGTACTGGAAAAGTCCGTTTTCGCGACTCTTTTGATATTTTATTTTATTTCTTGTGAAGTGGACCGCCGTACACAACCTAGTTCTATTCTCTCAGGCATATCATGGCGACACGCGTTGGTTTAGACTTATCTTGTATGACCTGTATTTTTAAAACGTTCATTGACCTCTGCGATCAAGCGACTGGTAACAAAGAAAGACTTGGGTCCATTTGATTTAAAATTGACAGAGCTGTAGTTGATTCCAATCGATCGGTCAATCTTCACTTTAATATAAGGAAAATCCTTTGTACTTATCCTCGGAAGAGAAAAGATATAAGAGATCTTCAAATGTTTCAGATCGGCGACCTGTCATCGTTCCTGGCTGGAGGGCTGACTTGCATCCGGCGCGGAGATTTGTTTGTTTCATGGTCGGGTTGTAGAGAAGACCAGACTCCATAAAGCATTTTGATGAACAATTCTATTTCAATTAAGTTCAATTTGTTTAAATTCACTGCAGATCCTGGAGGCAAAGGCCCGCATTTTTGTTTGACATTGGACAAAATCACTTTCCGCTTGATCGTACAGTAATTCCACAGTCACGATGAATTTCAGTCGAAGTACTACTCGATAACAGCTTGTCTCAACTCTGAAGCATTTGACATATTTTGTACGTGACAACGTAGAGCCGGTACGCCCTTTCATAAACTTGTAACATTTGAATAGTACGCAATTAAATGGATCTTAAGCTTCTGAATCGCACACACGCGAAAATATTGACATACAGCCGACATACAGTTCGCAATATTATTATTTTCCATTGTTGTCCGTTCGACTTCTGTCAGCGCAAAACCAGCGGGTTGCATATAAATTAGCTTCTCAGGAATATTTAGGCTGTGTACTGGGCTGTGTACGTGACCAGCCGATGCCAGGGCCTTTTCCCGCCCCACCCTTTTTTAAGGGAAAAGCCCTGGGGACGAGGTTGTCACTTTGTACCTCGACCGTTTATAAGCGGATATAAAACTAATTTCTCAAATATATTCTTACCTGTACCACGGCCTGCTTCTGCTTCCAGGTTGTTCTCCTCAGACTACGAGTAGTCCCCCATTTTTCCTCAGGGATAGTAGAGCGAGCGAAACGCGAGCGCGCGTGAAAATCACCCCACGCGAGAATAGGCGACACGCGGCGGGTAGAGAGAAAAATGAGCGACTACAGACAAAGCCCAAGCTTTTGACCCTTCACGGCCGACTGATTTTGGAGTGTGAAGTGCTCTTGTCATCGGTAAACTGCGGGGGATATTTATTGCAAGCAAAAGAAAACCGAGTCTATCTTTTTGTCGAGCGTCGAGGGTCGAGGGTCGAGGGTTCCATGTCGAGGGCGAGGGTACCATGTCGAGGGTCGAGGGTAACATTTTTTTTCCAATTTTTTTTTTTTTTTTTTTTTTTTTTTTTGGAAAAGGTAATAATCGATGCAATCAATGTCATTAAAACAAATAAGAAGAATTTAAAAAACAATGCAATCGTTGGAGTCTATCTTTTTGCAGAGCTATTAAAATGCGCGAACTCGCATGGAAATCGCCACCCACTAACGTAGAGGTTTAAAATAGAATAAGGCCTGGTAGCGACTTTCGGTGAGGTGAACATCGGCATTTGCTGACGCTTTCCCATTAAAATACAATATATCTTTCTAGGCCACAATCAGTCATATTTATTTGTGAACGTGGACGTGGTTGACGTGAATAGGAAAAAAACCAGACGTAGGTCCATGTCTCCCATTGATCCAATTTTAAAATTGTTTTACACTTGACACATTTCTACTAAAGATCTGTTGTTTTGCCAAGTTGGACATGAATAGGAAAAAAAGGAGTACTGCGATAATGCCGTTTATCTTGAACCGTGAATACAAGTTTTTTATTCCCGAAAAAAAATCGACTGTGTTGCGAATTCTGTTTAACTGTTTGAAATGTTACAATGTCACACAAGGTCATTCCTGTACAATTTTTCGGTCGGTCGGGCAAGAAAAAATGGCATTGGGTTTGTGGAGTGATTTTTGGTTCTGTTTTGAGGATATTTTCCCTGGTATTTCAATTCAAGCTTTCTCTGTGATCTATTTTTCTGTGGTTTCTGATGTAAATTTACTACTTTTAACATCATGCAAGAAACTGGACAGTGTATTCCTAGTCTGTCTTTTGCGGAATTTTTTTTTTCCTTTAAATATTCATATAGTGTACACTCTTTTTTTCTTTTTTTGAAAGTTCGCATAATCGGTCTTCTTCGATCTGATCGCTGTTCGTGAATAAAAGCTCCCCTTTTCGTGCAAAATAGGAAATAATCGCTGAAGCCGTCGTGAAGAAAGTTTTTGCGCAGACACCTCTGATTTCTGTTTGAAATGCACACTAGGGATAAAGATGTGTACAAAATTAGTTTCGCCACATGACTTCCTATTGTTGGTTTTGCGTTCCTTTTGTGTTTCAGGGTGTTTCAAATTTCTGCAGTGATACACTTTTTAAGCTGCAGAACATAACGTTGGTAATTAAAGGAGTTCATTATTGCGGCGCGACTCGGGCGATAGCATCAACCATCTAAATTATCACTCTAGCTACGCACCTACGTACCTACAATCTTGGACATAATAAATGGCAAACCTAGACCCCCCCCCCCCGAATCAAGGATGGGAAAATGGCGCGTTTTTGCCCTTCGCGCGCCTTCATCCTTGATTTGGGGGGGATGGGGGTTTGCTGTTCCATTTTATTTTGTCCAAGATTGTGGGTCACGATTTCCGGTGTCGGTGATTATCGATGACTTTTATTTCAAAATTTCATGGCGAGTTTCTACTTCATCGAAAGCACGACAATTCGTAGCAACTGACGAGGGACGCTATAGTTCCGAAACTGCAGTCTTCCTTAAGAATTCATAGCAGTCGCACAGACGACTGTTAAGCAAAAACTTAAGTAAATACCTACGAAGGAACAACAAGACATCGCGCTCTAGTTCAAAGACTCACTTATGATAAGAAAAACTAAATGGACTGTGTGAGCGCTAAGAGAATTATCTTGACTGACGCACGGCATATTTCTCCAAACTTGGTGTAGCTTTAGTTTTTAAGCTACAGTGTACAACTCAAATCTGAAGATCGCACTATCCGTGGAAATTCAAAATCCTGCAAACCACACTATACTATAGAGCTGGGCCCAGAGTCATACTGACATGGCAGGAAAAAATCACATTCAGGGACAAAGAAACTTGCATGCATGCATGTATTTATTCAGATACAGTCATTTCGGAGAAAACCAAAAAAACTAAAATCTTTATTCAGCCGTAATAAACAGAGGTCAAAGGATATAAAACACTTAACAACTGCATCTGAAATCAAATCCTGTCAGGGACACCTAGTACAGAAGCTGCATAAACCACAGGAAATGATTACTCAGTATGCATGTAAAAAACCTGCTTCATGACCTCAGTATAAGACTTAGTGCGACAAAAACAAGATTTACTCAGTCAAAGTTTAGAATGCTATACGTCTTGCACTGTGTAGTGCTAGTAACCTTCGCGCGAGAGAAAAAAGAAAGAGAACCACTGTTCAAGCAGACTCTCAAGATCACGTTTCACATTATCACGAGCTTATGAATCGTGTTTGGCCTGTCAACGCTTATTTCTTTTACTGAAATTTGTGTAAAATTTCGTTTTACCGGAAGTGGATTTTGAGCTCCGAACGGGCAAAATGAGTTTTCTCGAATTTTAACAAAAGAATACGTTATTTGGGAAAACTAACTACAGCATGTTTCATTACTCATTAAGGGTTATCGATGAGCCAAAAATGAGCGAAATTCGAATTTTGAACTTGTGCCATAAAAAGACAATTTTGGTCGATATTTACAGACAGTCGCTCTTAATTACCAACGTTATGTTATATTTTACAACGCAATAAGAGTTTTTTCCTTCCATTCTTGTTGGTTGGACCAGAAATTCATAATTCAACGCACTCATTCTTGTTTACGACATTTTAAATTTTGTTTACAACATTTTTTTTTAAAAGCAGTGTTTCAAGTAACGTGTCCTGTTCTGTTCTGTTCGAAAACAAATTGGGATGTCCCGGAGCTTTTCTCTATTCCAACCACTTCCCCCCCACCACCGAACAACTAGAAGGTGTTCACGCGCCATTTGTTTTTTAAATTCTTCTTATTTGTTTTAATGACATTGATTGCATCGATTATTACCTTTTCCAAAAAAAAAAATTGGGAAAAAAAAATGTTACCCTCGACATGGTACCCTCGCCGACGACATGGAACCCTCAACCCTCGACCCTCGACAAAAAGATAGACTCATTTTCTTCACGGCTGTTTCGCGTGAAGAACTTGATTGTGTAGGCAACGCACGATTTTTACTCATGCTAAAATGCTGCTGGTTCCAAGAAATTTTTTTCCCCGACGGGTAGATTATGCTCTGGAGGAAACGTTTTGACTGAGCAAATGTGATTTTTGCCGCTTAGTCATACTGAAAGGTCGTCACACGCATAATAATTTTCTGCGGTTATTGTTTATGGCCGGCATGATTTGCCCTCTGATGCAAGATCATTTTCTTTAACCTCTTTTGAAAAGTAAAGCTCTTCAATGCAGCTAGATAAGGGTTTTGGGTTGTTTAATTTCTCCGGCGATTGCCTCCTGGATCTCAATAATTTTAAGCGATTTTCTTTTTGGCCGTGAATGTGACAGTTTCCTGCAATGTTTCGTCACGCTGGTCCCAGCTCGTTAGCGTTTTTAGCACGACGGATAGTGATATCCAAATCTCGAAGAATGGATTGCAGCTTAAACTAAAACTAAATCAACTATGGAGAACTGCGATGTGACTTAGTCATGACTGGTCATGAATTTTAACTACCGCTTGTTTTTCTTTTGGAGATAATGTGAGTCTTTCGACTGGAGTGCGTAGTTCCTCCCTTACTGATAACTTTTGAAAAAGCTTACATTTGTAACAGCCTTGCCACGGTTCTGTTATTCCCACTTTGTGATCAGGCAAGACCATGGTTTCGGTTCTCCACGCGAACCTCATCAGTTGCCGGGTTGGCTTTCTTCTTAGTTGCTGCTACAAGAGCAACTGTAGTTATTTGTTCTGTGCTGTTATTTGTTCTGCTCTAGTTATTTGTTCTGCAAATTGTGATTATGTCAAGTGTTGATAGCGGCTGGCGCGTTTTTGACAGATGTTGACAGATTTCTATGGAAGAGCCAATCAGAGTTTTGCGTTGTGAGAGCAACGCATTAGTTCAAAAGCTTGGGGTTTGTCTGTACATTTTTCTCTCTCCCCGCCGCGTGTCTTTTTTTCTCGCGTGGGGTGATTTTCACGCGCGCTCGCGTTTCGCTCGCTCTACTATCCCTGAGGAAAAATGGGGTCTACTCGTAGTCTAGTTCTCCTTGACCCCCTTGGCAATACTCAGTGATTTTTCGCTGGATTGTTTGTTTTGTTCAAATTTTTCAAGTTCTGAATTCAGCCGGGCTAGAAATTGCGGCTTTTGCTTTCAGTTCCTTATCACCTAGTTCCTTTCTAATGTTAACAATTCCTTGCAGTATGTTTTGCTTTGTTCATAGTCTCTTTCTTCATAACATGACATGACTAGAAAATCGCATGCTTTTGCTTGCTTCTTCCTTTCCTTCAATTCCTTGCTAATACTGTATTTATTGAGTTGTGAAGAGAGTGTTTTCTAAAAGATGCTTCTGATAGGTTATATATATCGCTGTCTGGATTTGTTAAAACGTGGCTAAAGAAATTTCAAGTGCATTTTAACTATTTGACATCTAAGTGGAATGGGAAGCAGTCAAAAGTCACTAGCTGAAGCTAAACAATGGCAGCATTATTGCTGGCAATAGACGGTAAAGTTCTCTTGCAGAAATAACACGATTTTGCGATGAAATAAACAACATTTGAAACGTCCAGAAACTGTAATCTTTTAGTCAGTCAAACCGTGAGGACCACAGCTCAGTGTCGGCCGAAAACAGATTAAGAATCCACAATCTTTTAGCACAGAATAGGCTTTCTGAGAGAAAATCACCTAAACTTAACACTCACGAAGCGTTTTTATGCTTGGCACAAAGTATTCTGGTAACACGAGCTCAACCGCACATACCTGAGATTTCTCTGTCAACACTTTCGGTAAATCTCACAATAAATGAGTTTCGAGGCAATCACAGCACTTCCGAAAACCACTCATAATACTTCCACACTTAACACGGGCGAAACATCGTCAAATTACTCCGTAAAACTCTCGCTTTCTCAACATAAATCGTCACATGGAACTTTTCTGGACTCACTGACAGTCGATTTATTCAAGATCCCGGATGTAAACCAGCGATTGAAAAGGAGACATACAGCCCCCGCCTTCCACACAATTTTTTACTAAGTCTTAAGTAAAAAAAAACATGCTCCACTACAAGGCTCAGTCAAAGGGTATATAGTTTAGTTTCGTCTGCGGCGGAGGCTAGGAGAGGTTTTTAGGAAATACAAAAGAGAAGAGGACGATGCTTAGAATACCTGGTCTTCTTAGAACTAAGTAAGTTATGAGAACATGATTTTTCAGTCAGGTAACACAGTAGACTCGGAAGGAAAAATTTGAACACTTCCAATAGAAGTCGAACCAGTTCAGATACTCCACCACTAACCTACAGGAGACAGGTGGGCGTTTAGGCCACTAATCATGACGATACTCACGCTGACGTCACCTACCGATATTAATGTGCCAATCAGAAGCTCATTGGTTCTTGTAACAAATGATTCTTATGTTTTACTCGTTACACATTTGAATTATATAACAAAACAATGTTTGTAAAAGGTTATATCTCCTATACGGAACCTAGTTTTGAAGCCTTAGCGCCTACCAGTTTCCTGTAGCTTGGTGGTGGAGCACTCGACAGGTTCAACTCCTTTTGGGAGTACACGGATTTTTCCTTCCGAGCCGCCTGTGTCACTGGCTGAAAAGTCATCTTTCTCATATATTCAGAAGGTTTAAAAATTCATCATCACATTTCTATCATTGCACTGAAGTAAATTGTGTTTCGTGGACGGGGCAGAAATTAACAAAAAAACTAAGATTTCACACGTTGTGCGAAAGACAAAATAGCCGCACTACTACCTGAAAAACATTGCAAGAATACACATAAATACCAATCGACGGGTTGACAACTGCAATATGAAAGCTATAGGGTATCTGCTAGAATGAAGCTTAAATCCTTTCCGTTCGGTTTTCGTTAAAACTTCGGCTATTTCGTCTTCGGATAGCCGTGAAACCTTTCTGAAGTTTTCAGGCTTACCTGAACAACCGCTTGCTTCTGCCTGCAGGGTTTTACCCTCCTCCTTCTTGGCGACACGTGGTGATTCTTTGCTGAATTCTTTGCTTTGTTCATATTTTTCAAGTTCAGAATCCGACCAGCCTAGAAAACAGCACGCTTTTGATTTCAGTTCCTTGTCACCCAGTTCCTCGCTAATACTTAGTAATTCTTTGCCGTATTCCATGCTTAGTTCAGAGTCTCCTACTTCAGCATGTGACTTTGCTAGTAAATCGCACGCATGTGCTTCCAGCTCCTTATTCCCCAGTTCCAGTTTGCTAATGCGTAGCAACTCTACGCCGTATCCTATGCTTTTTCTAAAGTCTCCTCCTTGAATATACGAATTTGCTAGTGCTTTACACGCTTTGGCTTCCTGTTCCTTATTTCCCAGTTCCTTGCTGATGCGTAGCAACTGTTTGTTGTATTTTCTGCTTTCTTGATCTTTCCGTTCTTTACTATACGACTTAGCTAGAACTTGATACGCTTTGGCTTCCTGTTCCTTCCCCAGTTCCTTGCTGATGCGTAGCAACTCTTCCGCGTATTTTCTGCCTTCTTGATCGTTCCCTTCTTGGATATACGATTCTGCTACAACTTCACACGCTCGTGCTTCGCCTTTCTTTTTCCCCAATTCTTTGCTAATGCGAAGCAAATCTTGGCCGTATTTTTGGCTTTGTTTATAGTTTTCAAGTTCATAAAACACAAAGGCTAAAACTTCCAATGCATATGCTTTTAGTGCCTGATCACTCAAGTCCTCGCTAATACGTAGAAATTCTTCGCCATAATTTTGGCTTTGTTCATATTTCCCCTGTTTTAAATAGGACCAGGCTAGGACATCGAGTGCTTTTGCTTCTAGTGTTTTATCCTTTAGATTCTGGCTAGCATTTAGAAATTTCTCTCCTTGCTCAGAGCTTTGTGCATAATCGTCATCTGCTAAAAACAACCAGGCTTGAACTTGGTATGCTGACGCCTTCAGTTGCTCATCCCTCAATCGGTCGCCAATCCTTAGCAGTTCTCTGCAAAAACCTTGGCTTTTTTCATAGTCTCCGACATCTTTATGCGCCCAGGCTAGAACATTGTTTGCGTTTGCTTTAACTTTGAGTTCCTCGTTCCCCATCTGAGCGCTAATATCTAATAATTTCTCCCCGTATGCTATGCTTTGTTCATAGTCTTTAACATCGTAATACAACCAGGCTAGATCTTGGTACGCTGATGCTTTCTTCTTCCTATCTTTATCTTTCACGGCGAGCTGAAGCCTTATCAGGGCCTTGTCTATTTTTTCATTTTTACATCTCTCAGGGTCGAGGGAAGTCTTTGGAGCCTCCATTAGACACTCTTCTCCGTCAACTGCTGAAATACAAACAGTACATAAACTCAGAAAGCCGCATTCACCATTCGTGTGGAGTTCGTTTCGCAGCCTCCACGGGAAGTTGGTTTGGACATTCTCTAGTCTCGTTTCTGTTCTTTTACTGCAGTTTTCAGATAACACCGATTGTATTCGCATTGCTTCTAAACTGCTTACGACTGCAAATATTGTAGACTTTAACCGCACTGTTAAGTTAATTTCTTGTGTCTCTTATTAGTTGGGCGTATCAGCTGCACACGGCTCCTTGTTGCAGGCATGTGGTAAATATTTGAGGTCAAATTTTTGAGAAATTCCTGATGGTTTCTTAGGTTAATCCCCATTCAAGTCACACCAGAGCTTAAACGTGTTTAGAAGTTGTTTAGTTAAAAACGGTTTAATTTTGTTTTTCTTTAAAGAAGCTTAATACCGTACTTTTATCGATTGCAAATTTTGTGCAATTACATACAGTGGCTAGTTTCTTTAAATTCTGCGTAAAAGACCGTGTTCTAGGTTTCTGTTACTGTTTTTCATTTCCTTAAATATGTTTAGTTGGTGTGAACAGGGCATTAGATTTGTTTGAGCTTGCGTAGCCCATACTTCACTGCATGGGGACTCGAAGTTTAGAATGAAGGCGCGGACACATTCACCAGTCTGAGCTCGCGGACATTATACCCCCTGCCCCTCAAGCATCAAAGCATAACTTGTGTGGTAATACGCGAAGGAACTTAAGTCTTTTCTAAAAGATGCTTTGAAAGTTTTTCTTAGTTATTCAATTAAAAGAACAATTTTCCTTTCCGAAGCGTAGACCGATAGCATCTCACGGAAGTTTAATTTGTTCACGAGTCATTTTGAAGTTTTCCCTAGTCACATGTGACGGCTTCAAATATAAATATGAACATTCAAAATTTTTGGCTCTGTTACGACCAACGGTTAGCCCCATTGCCCTCTTAAAATAGAGAGGAGAAGTCGTTACGTCACGTTGCCATGATAGAAAAATGTTTGGATGACATCACCGATCTTTTTCAATTTCATTTAATTGACAAATCTTGGCGAATTTTTCTTTGGAACCGCATCTATCGTCATCTAAGTTTAGAAAAAAAAGCGACAATTTTTGTGTTGAGTTCACTTACTCCATAAAGCGGGCTCGTGAAATTAGGAAGTTTTATGTCGTAGTGGTGCAACGACGACCAAGAAATGTTCAAAATAGCATGATGCACATGCAAAGCTGTTGTTTGTTAATATAATCATAATATCATTATAGATTAGCTTCCGTTTCTGTACTTATGATAAAAGCAATCAAATTAAAGTAATAACATGAACTCTAAGCCAAAAAAAGAAATCCTCATATCCCTAAAGAGCCATCGGCATGAGACACCTTTAGAGCGAGGGGCTAAATGATTAAGAAAAAATATCCCGCAAACAAACCTGAATTGAAAAAATTGTTAAATTGTAGGTCTCTTAAGTAGCAGCGATTTACAGGTTACGATGTCTAGGGTCGGTGTTTCTGTGTATAAGGGAAGACCTAAAAAGAAAATCAGGCCGACTTAAGGACTTTTGTGTACCTGTAAGCCCATGATATTTTCTTTTCTTTCTTTTCTTCTCTTTTTTTTAACGGGCCTGGACGAACAGTTCTATGTAGCCTTTACATTTATACCGCACAATATCTGAAAGAAAATTTTACCGTTGGTGTATAATATTTTCTCTGGCGACAGACATAGGAAAGCAAACGATAACCTTTTTCGCTACTAATAACTATAATTCAATCTTTCACTACAAGTATAAACGTTAATACAGCAACTTACAAATTTTTTTATTAAAAAAAAAAAAGACAGACTCGGGCTCGTAAAGCCGACGAGTCTGTCCGTTTTAGAATAGGGGAGACCTCTTTTATTTTTTAGATAAGTTCACTTTTTCAGAGAGATTATAAAGCCGTAAACAAACAACTGGAAACAAACGCACTAAACTAATCCAAGTGGTATTCAACTGTTTTCAGGGCACAAGTTATGGAAGAAGAACAGCACACTGCACACTGCAAAACAGCAGAAATTCTTGAATTTTACACGCTGCAAAATTCTTGAATCGCAAGTAATGAATGAGAAAATGAATAGCACTTCAATGCGGAACATGAACAAAAACAACACTTCAGTTTTAATTCAATGCTTATGGTATTCGACGAAACGAAACGAAACAATGAATGATTTTCCAGTAATTGGAGACCCATGTTTTGCGCACATGATTCTGGGTTCTCTATACCTACCCTGCTAGCGGAGTCGCTTCGATCTTTCCTAGATAAGTCGGGAAAGAGGAAGCGACTCTGGCGACATCTTCAAGTTCCTTTGATCTGCCGATCATCCAGCTTTTTGGATGAGTCAGACAAGTTTTATACTGGATAAATCAGTTTTATCTGTACACGCACCCATATTCTGGAGTTTTGCTGACTCTTTCTGCGCCCACGCTCCATAACAAAACAAACAGCTGCCGCTTCAATTTCATGCAGGAGTTTTGAGAAAATTATAGATTGAACCGTTCAGTTTTAGAAAAATTGGAAAATGCATCCAGATTCGAGATGGGTTTCGTCTTGGATTTAACCATGTACTTAGCCGATTTTACTTGGGTGAACGGATCCACAATCCAGTAAGTGTTACGCGAAGTTCTTGGAAGGATAAACAAATGGGTTTTGAATGAAAAAAATTTAAGAAACAATATCTATGCTTATTCTTTTGTGTTTGCTATGACATTAATTCAAAATAAGATCATGAGCCTACCGGTTCATTTTCACCCTTCCGTAGTTGTGTTTCCTCTGGATTTGGAAGCTCTTTAGGAACAATTTCACCTTTGGAATCTAAACTTTCTATGTTTCAGTGTAAAGAAGTTAATATAATCTTAGAGCTAAGGTAAAACTTACGGTGCTTTTCAAAAACAAAGCGTCTAACCTTGAAACACAGAAACACACAAAACGGATCGAAATCCACCTATCACAAATCACAAACTACGACCTTTTGTTTCCTAAGAGGTTCGCTAAAATGTAAAGGCAAGAAAGCGAAGAAAGCGCCGCTTCTTCAGATTTTGATTGACGTCGTAGAAAAACACAAAATCCAAAGACGTTTTTGGCATTGCAGGTCGGGTGTTATCCAAAAAACATCTGTAAAAGCATCGATCATTTAAATGCAACATGGATTTTGTTACGTTCCCGCTAACATTTACATTTTAATTTTGCTGACAAACACAGTGGATGCTACGATAACGGTTTGATTGACGTCGCAGAAAAATTTGAATTTCGAGCATGCTCAATACGGAATTGTCGAGGATGTCGGCAGAGGTTCCTTCCTCTTCCCGACTTATCTAGGAAGATCGAAGGAGACTCTTTTCGCAGGGTACTCTACACCAAGAGCGTCTTGAAAAACGTTAACAAGAACTTTTCTCGTTCCTCAGCCGGAGCACTCTGTTGGGCTGAGGTTTCAAACGATTCCGGTATCCCTTCAAACTTCAAATTTTCCCGGCGACTGTAGGTTTCCAGATAAAGGATTTGCTTACTGCATTCACTGATATCTGCCCATTTCTCTTGTCCACATTTTCCTGAAGCTCAGTGATTTTTTCGTCAATAAATTTTGCGTTTTCTTTCATATGGGAACAATCTTCTTCAAGAGACTTCTGCTTTTCTTTAACGGCCACGACGTCGATCTCTATATAGGATACTTTAGTTTGAGGACCCTTCACTGTCTGGTTAAACTCATAGGCGTACGGGCCGGGGTACGAGCGAGGGGGGCTGCAGCCCCCCCATTTTGGGCAACTCAGTTTTTTGGGGC